CTTCCCAGAGCCAGGCACTCTGGCTGGTCCTGCAGGGAGCACCTGGCATGCTCCGGTGCCCCTGCGGGTCTGGGTGTCCAGATGTGCTGCCCGGCCACATTCACACGGCTCGGCTGTCAGTGAGGGGCTGGCCGTGGGCTCCTCAGCGGGGCCTCTTGGGCACAGCGCTGCACCCGAGCCCTTGCTTCAGGTGGCAGCACTGGTGGGGGGCAAGCTCCTGTCTAGAGTCTGCTCTGGCTGTGTATGCAGGTCGGTGGGGGCAGGTGGCGGTCTGGACACTGCTCCCCATGAAGGAGGTACACACCCCACCGACCACACACACACACACACACACACACACACACACACGCCCAGCGGGCAGGAGCCTCTCCTTTTGATTTCGAGAACAACCCTGTGGTGCCCCTCTCCCTGACCCTCCTGCAGGGGCCCCTTGTGCCGTTCCCAGGATTAAACCCAAGAGCGCGCATTCCTCGCTGGCAGGTGCGGGCCCCACCCGCTCCGCAGCCAACCCATGTGCACTTTTGAGTTTCCTAAACCCAGGGCTGGGCCCTGCTCAGGAGCTGAGAGGCTCACCCTTGGCCCTCGGGCTGCAGGGACGGCACTCCTTGTCCTGGTGTGGGGACCGCGGTCCCCCAGCCTCCACTCGGCCCCTCCCTGCCCTGAGTAGATGATGCAGACCTTGAAATATGCACTTGTGTTCTTTTTCTTTCTTTTTTTCCAAAAGAACATTGGAATCCTGGATGAAGCTTTAGTCCCGTCACTTGACAACTGTATAATATAACGCAGGGTCCTTGAATCTCAGCCCCGAGTCTCTGGATGGGGGTGGGAACAGGCTCCCGCCAGGCCCCAGACCTGCAGGCCCTGAGTGCACGCACATTCCTTGAGGCTTACCGGTCCTTCCCTGGTCTCTCTGAGGATGTCCTGGGCACCGAGCCTTTCACTCGGAGCCCTTTCCCGGCTGTGACTAAGTAATGTCTGTTCAGTTTCCTGCTGGAAGCCTGCCGCTGGCCCCCACGGGCCAGGAGCTCCTGCGTTTATTTACATTTCCCTGATTGCTATTCAGGCACGACACCTTTCCACATGCTCTCAGCCTCCTGCTTGGACTCCTCTTTTCTGATGTGCTATTTTTTTGGTCTGTTACCATCTTTTATTAGGTCATTCGTATTTTTCTTATTAATTCGCAGGAGTTCTTTGTATTTTGTAGGTATGCTTTTGAGGTAGTCTTTCTTGAAGATACACTTGGGCGATCAGCTCTTACTGATAACACAAATTAATTACTCTTGCTGTTAAAAAAAAAAAAAAAAGACGTCCTTCCTAGCCCTGAGGTCATGAAGATGATGTTCTACATCCGATCATACAGGCCTTATGGTCGCACTCTTCATATTAGGTCTCCATCCCCTGGCCAAGTGTGCCTTCTTGGTGTGTGGCAAATTAAGGGTCCAATGTGACATCTCCCTGGCCGTCTGACTGCAACATGGATCTTCCTCCCATGCCCCCTATGCCACCCTGACAGCACCACCAGCAGCTCCTTCCTGATGCTCAGTCCTGCCCTGTGGCCTGTCCTCCTCCCCTGCATCCATGGTGCAGTTGTGATCACCACTGCTTTGGGGGAAGTTCTGATGTTGGGTAAAACCCAAGTTCCCTGCCTTGTTCTTTAGTGTGTGTGTGTGTGTGTGTGTGTGTGTGTGTGTGTGTGTGACCAAGGATTGAACTCAGGGGCACTAGACCACCGAGCCACATCCCAGCCCTATTTTGTGTTTTATTAGAGACAGGGTTTCACTGAATTGCTTAAGGCCTCGCCATTGCTGAGGCTGGCTTTGAACTTGTGGTCCTCTTGTCTCAGCCTCCCCAGCTGCTGGGATTACAGGATTACTGCCCTGTTCTTGAAGAGTTTTGCCAATTCTTGGCATTTTAGAATGGCAAGATCTTGGAATCAGCTTGCCGTGGTGCTCACACACAACCCTTGGGACTGCTGGGTGTTTTGTTTTGGGGATTTAGAGAGAGACATTAGCTCTAAGGAGGATCTCCCAGCCTCGAGGCCCCCGCAGTGAAATGAAGGCCCAGAGCCCCCCTCACGTTTCGTCCTGTGCGTTTCTCAGAAGTGCTCATGTTTCTCCACATTTCTCCCATGTCTTTGGGTACTTAGGATCCATTGGTACTACTGTATATTGGTTTTGGTTTTTCACTCTATTTATTGATCTACGTGTGTGTGTATAAAGATATAAAATCTTTTCCATTTACATGAGGGGCAGAAGGTGCTAGAGCTGCCATATCCCTTTCATCAGCTCCCCTTAGCATCTCCCATGGCCACGGTGCGCTGGCCAGACCAAGAAACCAGCCCTGCACCCCCACTGAGCCACAGCTCAGCGCTTCCCTACCTTGAACCCTGACATCTGAGCCAGGACCGTCACCCCCTGTGCTCCACAGGCTCCCTGGTCCCCTGGATCTGTGAGGGCTCCCCAGCCTGGCTTCTCACGCCCTTGACACTTGGGGAGCACCAGTCCAGGGCAGTGATGCCTGGGTGGGTTTGCCGGGTGCTGTCTCGGGATGGGCCTGGGTTTTGGGTTTGAAGGAGGACACCCCGAAGGCCAGTGACCTTTCTCCCTGGGTCGGGTCACGTGGTGTCTCACTGCTGCTCCTGACCTGTGGCTAGGGCAGTGTGGGCCAGGTCCTTGGTGGGACTGGGCCATCTCCCCTTTCCACCCGGTCCAGCCCCTGCAGCTGCCGCCTCAGGAGAGCACACAGAACTGTGGTGGGTGCCAAACACATTTGGGGAGACACTTGGAGGTTTGCCCTAAAATCTCCACCTTCACCTGTGGATCTTTCCTTCAGCCAATGTCACCGCGGGCGTCTCTCTTCTTCATTCCTTTTAAACTAATTCTCTGAAATTCCCTTCTAAGCAGGGTCTGCCCTCTCCTCCGGCTGTTCAGGGGTCCGTCCGCCCGGACTCAAGAACGTGTTTTTGATCATGATCCCACACTGTTGCTTGTGGCCCACCTCCTTCTGGCTTCGGCCACCCTCTGGCCACGTGTCCTGTGGACAGGCTCTGTCCTTTGGAGGTCACTCCTTCTGAGCATCTCTTTTCTTTCCAGGCTCCCCTTCGTTTCCCCTGTCCCTAGAATCGCCCACGACCGGGGCACTGGGTGTGCTCGTCACTGCAAGGGCATCACTGCTCCGGCCTCCTCGTGCAGAGAGAAAGCACACGTCTGGGCGTGACCTGGGCACACACACCCACACTTCTGCATCCATCCCGTGTCTCTGGGAAGCGAACTCGCAGCTCACACTGCCGTGGCTGACCTCTGCCCCACGCCCAGCCCCAGCTCCTGTTATCTAGGACGTTTACTGTTTGCACGACCCTGATGCACATTTCCAGTTCACTGAGCTACGGGTCTGGGAAAGGGACCACCAGGTCACACGGGCTCTGCAGGCTACAGGGAACTGCTGGACCTTCTGCAGGTGGCTGGCTGCTTGGCACTCGGCCAGCACAGAGGTCCCGGCCCTCTGCTCCCCGTGAGTGCTCCCAGGGGCCAGGTGGGGGTGTTCCTTTGGGCTTCAGCATTCTTTTAAAGCTGTGGCGGACCTCACTGTGGTTTGAATTTGTCTTTCCACAGTGACTACTGATGTGGACCAAGCCCCTTTTTATGTGCTTATTTATGATACAATTTTTATATTGACTGTTGGCTTTATTCCTGCTGAATTATAAGCATCCCTTATGTGTTCTGGTACTTTAGACTCATTCTTCAGGTCGTATGTAGTACCTTTTAATTTCTCACATGAGGATGACCATCACGCGTTGAAATTCACACTAACACAAGTTCGACTTTGGTTAGGAATGAACTTAAAAGGCAGTTGTACCAGTTAGCTCTGAGGACATCTTCGTTTTTCAGAAAGCCAAAGATAGATCGTCATAAAAAACAAAACCTCCTCTATGACAACACAACTGAGGTCCAAAAGCCCCAGAGGGGACTGGAAAGTGCCTGTCCCTCCTACGTCCGAGGATCTCCTCCGACGTAGACATTTCCTAGACAGGGAGACGCAGAGATGAGCGAAGGACATGAACAGGCAGTTCTGAGAGGAGCCCGTAGCCACCAGGCCCAGAAAGGCACCCGGCACCTGGGCCTCACCAAGGGCGCCGACAGCCGTCGTGGACAAGGGGAAATGGGGAGGCGTCGGGTGCCACCAGCAACACTGACTGAAACAGCAGAGGACACACTCTCCTCCCCCACTCCCCCACCCCCACGTGACAGCTTCTGAGAATGAAGGGGCTTGTTACTGTCCACAGGAAGGGCCTACATCTACGAGGCCTGGGCACCCCACACACGGAGTGGGCGTGCTCACGCCGTAGGTCTAGGCCGGGAGTCGTAGGGTCCACGTCCACGCCCCTGGAGAAACATGAGGAGCATGGGGGCACAGTGGCAGGGACAGAGACGGGCACAGGGCAGCGCCCCTGCAGGTGCTGCTGCAATGAGCAGAGGGGTAGCAGCTTGGGATCCAGCCGGGGAAGCCCCTGGAAACCTCTGAACTGCCCCAGCTCTCGGGTGCACTCACTTCTTTTGCAATGAAATCTTTAAGAAAGGGTAGGCTGAGCCCAAGCACTGACCGGTTCAGAGGCTGCCGCACACGGTGACCGGAGCAGGGCTCTGCGCACCCACATCACCCTCCAGTTCCTGGCCTGTGGCGGCGGTGTGGCCGTGGGCATCCTGCCTCACTAGACCTGTGCCGGTCCTTTATCCTGACCCAGCCGGCAGGTGTAAGGCTGGGGAGAGGCCCGGAACTCGTGGGCTCCGCCCCACACTGAGAAGTCACTGGCCATTACCATCCTGGGGCACTGAGGTCACCCGCTTGCCCCCACCTCTCCCAGCGCCAGCCTGATGGTTGAGGGTCCTGAGCGCCAGGGCCCAGGAGCTCACAGGTCTCTGCCCCCGCAGCCAGGTGGGGGTGGCCATTCGAGCTCAGCCTGTCTGGGGAGGCCTCATGGTGCCCATGTACCTTCTCCACAGTGAGGAAGAGCCCCACGCTGCTGGAGGCGAGCCCGGCCCACTTCCTGAGAACCAGCAGCTTTGCCGAGGACCTGGACCTGGAAGGGGAGACGCTGCTGGCCCCCATCACCCACGTGTCACAGTGAGTGCCACTCGCCCAAGTCTGGGCCGGAGGGGCTGGGCTCAGAGGGGCACCTTGGCACAGGGGAAGACATGCTGGCCTGCCAGCACGCAGCACCCTCTCCACCCTCGGGAGCCGAGGGCCACTGCTGCCAGGAGGGCAGGGACAGTCCACTGCACCGGGGACGCCGCATGACGGTTTCCACTGGTTTCTGCGCCCTGAGCATCTCAGAAGATCGTCTTTCCTCTTAGTCCCTTGCCTCCCTCCCTTGCGGAACCCTGGCCAAAGCCATGGAGGTGTGGGTGCCATCTGCCAGTTGTCACTGCTGACCCTAGGGGCTCCTTCCGGTACAGCAAATGGCTGACTTCCCACACCTCCCAGCTGGCCGCCCTGAGTTACAGCTCCCCCCCACCCCGCCAATTCCGTGCACCAACCATGCTGTGGTTCCCCTGCGACAGGCGACTCGGGAAGGCCACCGAGGAAGCCAGGGGACACCATGCAGTGGGGTGGGTGGCTGCTCAGGCCCGTGGGCACCACCCCGTCCGTCGGGCAGTCCCCTGCAGGAGCGCCACTCTCAGCCCTCAGGGGTGGCTCACTGGCTCTCTGCCGCTCTCCTGGGGCTCTCTGGGGTCGGAGGGTGACCCACCCTTGTGCACCCTCGTCACACTGTGGCCCAGGGCCTCTTGCTCCTGCCCACAGCCAGGTGTGAACTTAGCCCGGCAGGTAGCTGAGTAACTGGGAACCACAGTGCGGGGTCTGCTCGAGTGACCAGCAGCTGGCAGGGCCAGGCAGCCAAAGGGAGGCCAACCCAGGAAGACAGGCCACCTTCCCAGGCCACCCAGGCCCACAGCGAGGGTGGCAGTGCCCCACGGCTAGCAGGACATGGAGAGGGAGTTTCCTGGGCTCAGAGGAGGCCACAGGTCCCTGGAAATCAGGGTGACTCCCCCTCCAAAGACAGCGTGACAGGCCGGCTGGGTAAGCGGGCAGGAGTGGGTTGTGGGCAGAGAGGCCAGCAGAGAGGTGGGCAGACACAGCTGGCCCCAGAGGCACAACAGCAGCATGTGCTGTGTTCCAGGCTTCAGTCAGCCCAAGGCATGAGAACCCAAAGTGACAGACACTAGAGTTGAATGGCGGCGTGTGTCACGTGGGTGTCAGAGGTCACTCAGGAATGGGGACCGCCAGGAGGACGCTGGAAACCCCAGCAGGCCCCAAGATGCCACTTAGGCCTCCAGGGCCGCTCACTCTTCCCCTCTCGTCCTCTCTGTGGAAACCCATTCCCCTTTGCTCTCCCGGCACAGACCAGACCCCAGAGGCAGGGCCGTCGCTCGCCGTCCATTCACTGGATAGTCATTCTGGCTAGCCCCTGGGCACCTGCATCCATGGGCGTCTCAGGTGGGGTCCCAGCTGGAGGAGCTAGGGCACCGGCACACTAGTATCCTGTTCCAGGGACCCCGGGGCCATGGGCCTGGCCCAGACCCCACCCCACCCTGGGGAGCAGGCAGGCCCAAGTGGGCACAGTGTGGACGTGGCGTGACCACCTTTGTGCATCCATGGGGCTATGTCCCCTGGCTCTCGAATGGCCTGCCTGGCCACGCATGCCTGTCACTCAGCTAGGGTCCTGCGGCCCCAGCTGAGTGAGCTCCTGTGGGCAGCCGGGCACACGGACCCGTGCGGGTTAGACGGGCACACACCTGGTGACAGGGACCTCAAAGGGGCAGAGTGGGTGGCTGCCGAGAACCAGACCCGTCTCTCTTCCGCACTCTCCTGCCATGCTGGGCAGCCCCAGCGCTCAGCTGAAGGCGTAAAGGGACCCGTGTGGTGTCCCTCTCAGCTCTCCCGCCTGCAGGGCCCGGAGGTGAGGTCGCTGCAGCCTGGACTGGGGCAGCTTCCAGGGCTGTGGGCTGGTGGGGGTTGGGGGGCTCACAGACCTGGCGTAAAACAGGGAGTTGCTGGTGAGCAGGGACTGGGCACAGGCTTCTGGGGGACAGAGTGGCTCCGCCAACCCCATCGGCTCACCACGCAGCCCGGGGGCTCTTGCCGTGCCCACACCTCTCTCCCGAGGCTGATGGGCCGGAAGGGATCCCTCTGCCTCAGGCTCCCGACTCCTCCACCCAAAGCCTTGTTCTGGGCTTCTGAAGGGCAGGCGTGAACAAAGCCGGGAGTGGGGCCTTTGTGGGTAGCACTGGGGAACTCAAGGGGACGGGGGATCCTGCACAATCCTGTTCTACCTGCTGTCCTCCCCACTGAGGGCCCTGGCAGGACAGTGGGGGCTACCACTGTGTACTTGACATTTGGTGTCTCACATCTAGAGTGCCCTGTGGCGTATGCACAGCCGTCAGAACCCCATCGTCTGGTGTCTCCCAGTCATCCTGCCTCGGGGAGTCCCCCAGCTGCTCCTAGGCTGGGTGGCCTCTGCCTCTGGTCCTAAGTACCAGCTCCCTGAACCCTTGGCGTGGGGCTGGGCCCTTGTGTGTCCCCTTGTGACCTCTCGCTCTCCATCACACCAAGGCTGCAGACAGGGTGACCCCAGGGCTACCACTACAGCATGGAGAGCCCTCCTAGCCCCAGCAGAGGACATGGGCCAGACCTTGCAAGACCTGCCACAGTGCTGACACAGGCCCAGGCATGGCCATCAGCCGTGTGCACTATGGCCTGGGTGAGCTGCTCTCACCACCGCTCCTGAGCCAGCCAGGGCTGGCCTGGAACCTCATCAGTTGTACCTGGACACCCAAGCAGGACAGCCCCAGAGCTCAAGCTACCGCTAGCCCAGCGCCAGCGCCTGCTGGGCCCTGCGACAGGTCCTTGCGTGACACTTGGCCCCTGACCCTGCCTGTCTTCTCTGTTGTGACATCTGGAATGGGCAAGCCTCAGCCCGTGCTCACTAGGCACCTGCGCTGTGGGGGCCGTCGAGGGGCACCCAGTCCACTGGGATGGGTGTGGGGAGGCTGGGGCCCTGAGCTGGGCAGAAGGCACAGAGGTGGCCGAGGGAAGGCCAGCATGTGGGCTGGGCCCTTGCAGGCAGCACCAGGTGACCAAGGGCTGCCCTAGTGACCATGTGCTTGCCTGGCCTCTTGCAACATGACAACTGTGGAAACCCTTGAGCAACACCAGCCCTGTGTGCATTAATTAGAATTTCCATGTCTTCGACTTTCTCCTGGACCCTGCAGTATCTCACGCCAAGACGTTCAAGTTTCTCTTTTCCAGCAAGGCCGCTGTGGCCTGGCTTTCATCCACAGCAGAACTAACGTCTCCTGAATTCCGTGTCTGTCAGCGAGGCCAGGGCCAGCCGTGCCTTCTGGAGATGTGGGCAAACGCCACACGGCTGGCACCGGACCAGCTCCTGATGGGCCTGCTCAGCACAGGGCATGGCTCCGTGGCAAGCTCCACTGGGCCGTCCTGGGTTTCCCAACCCGCAACCCCGAGTGGAAAGGGACTGAGGGGCTATGCCAGGCCCAGTATCAGGGCCCGGGAAGGGCCTTGCCAAGAACAGAGGGCCCGGCCGTCGTCTCGACCTGTGAAGTTCCAGATCACCTCTGCCTACCCAGGTGCCAAGGAAGCCCCAGGGGAGCCCGGGTTGGGGACGGAGCAGAACTCAGAGTCCCCCGTCAGAGCCCCACACGGCCAGCCAGGCACAAACCCATCTCTGAAATGCACAGGGGAGGGGGTGGTAAATGCTCTCCTAATTAAATTAAAAGCGAGGCAGAGAGGCTCAGTGGGAAAGAGATGGGACTGGGAATCGGATGCCCTCGATCTGGCTCCCAGCCTGCGCGGGCCCAGCTGCGGGCAGCCCCCAGTGGCCCCCTGCTTCCCAGGCTTCCCCTCCTCCATCTGTGCCTGTGAGAAGGATGCGCTGGCCTCTCGGCCTGCTGCTCTGAGGAGGGGCCCCAGTGTGAGGAAGGAGGCCCCGAGAGAGGCAGCAAGGCCTCAGCCTCAGCCACTGCAGCCTCCACCCTGGACGCTACCCAGGCCCTCAGCCAGGTGGGTAGTGTGGAAGGAGCACGTGCTCCACAGAGGGGGCCGGAGGACGAAGTGACTTCCCACTGCCCTGCTGGTGTCAGTGCTCCACCTAGACCGGAAAGAGGCGACCGACCAGGATGGAGCTCCAAGGCCCTGGTCAGGGAGCCTGAGGGGATGGGCCTCTGCAGGACTGGTCTGTCCATCTCCCTAGTGAGGCCCAGAAAGGCCTGTCCTTGTACAAGGCTCAAGGGTGAAGTATACAGCATCCAGTGCCCACTTGACGCATCTGCCACCTGGACCTGCGGGTGCAGCTCCCAGGGGGCAGCAGACCCCCAGAGAGCGCCTCGGGCTCCCTTCCTCTCCCTGGCACCCCGAGAGGGAGCACCAGCCCCATTTTCAGCAGCAGCAGCCAGTTGTGCCCAAGCAGGAGTCTCACTTAGATGGAATCCCACGGCGCCTCTGCCTTGTCTCCAGCCGCCTTCGCTGGGCGCTGGCCGAGCCTCCTCTCCTGCTCCCCCGGGCTCTTGAGGCGGCTCCACCACTGCCTGGCCTGCTCTTGGTTATTCACTCCACTGTCCATAGCCACTGGACACTTCCCAGTGCGAGGCAGCTAGGAACACCACGTGTGCTTCTGGTGGGCAGACGGCAGTGTTGTGGTGAGCTTGTACCTAGGTCACAAGTGGCCCTGAGGGCATCTAGGAAACACTGCAGATGCACCCCAAGGTAGCTGTTCACGTCCTCACCACTCTCTAGCCGTGTGGTGGTGTCTGGGGGCATCAGATGGCATTTTAATTTGTGGTGACCCAATGGCTAGCAGGGCTGAGCCCCCGCCTGTGTTCCCGTGGCCCTCAGCACAGTGTCCACCTCTCCTGCCTGTCGGCTGTCTTTTCTCAGAGAGCAGCAGTTCTCTGTGCCCCAGGGAACTCTGGGAGAGGCCAGCGTGTGGACTGCAAGCACTGCCTCCCCCCGCGGGCGGCCTGGTCCCGTCTCCTGATGGCCTCTTTTGATGAACAGAAGGTCTTAATTTTAATGTGGTCCAGTTAATCAGACATTTCCTCTCTGGA